CAGTTTACAGTGTGGTAAATCCTTGTGCATGCAGGTTATCAATCACATGTGATTGATATGATAACTGGCATGTTTAACTTGTATTCCCCCCTATAAAACATGTAAAAACATTTAAAAGGTTCATTCAGGGGTATGAACTCACCTGATGTAAGTGGATCCGACGAAGGCGTTGGTTGGGTGCTCGGTGTCAAGTAAGGACTTGAACACACTTAGTGACCTATTAACATATGATAACATATGTTTACATACAATTAGTACATTTAATACTGATTAAACAAGTATACGCTTCCTAAGTGCGAAAACACTTTTAATTAAGCGTTCGGGGTGTCCCGAGTAACATCTAAGGGCGTGTATGGCTCAAATAAGGAGTTTACTCTCCTAAAACTCACTTTATATGAGTTCACGGTTGGGAGACCATATTCCCCATGAGTTTACGGTCGTAAACTCATGGGAGGATTGTTTTAGGTTAATTTCAAGTCCCAAGTGCTTCAAGAATTGGCTTTAAGTAATTATTCAAGGCCATAGGAGTGTTTAGGGTTCCAAGAGTGCACTCCCTTGGAGTTTACGGTCCAAATGACCACTCCTTGGGAGTTTACGGCCGCAAGCTCTTGGCTTGGGCGTGAACTCTCATGCAACCCTTTAAACTTTGATTTTAAGCCCTTGTTTCAACCCTAGCATTTTCTAGTGAAGGTATAAGGCCATTTTGGGGACAAAAACTATCATTTGACATGGTTTGTGGGTGTTTACGGCCTAAGCATGTGCTTGGGCCGTAAACTCCTTTTTACCCCTTATTTCATTGGGTTTAATTGTTCCAAACCCAAAATAGCAAGCCCCTAAGCCATATCTTAAGCCTAAATGTGATTTGGAAGTGATTTTGAGGCTTGATTTGCATATTTTGAGGAGTTTACGGCCTAAGAATGCTCTTGGGCCGTAAACCCTATTTCAAGCCCCTAAACTTGTTGATTTGAGGTTCAAACACTTCTAGGCTTAATCCCAAATTAGTTTCCAAGCCTAAGGGGGGGAGTTTTGGGCATTTTGGCACCATTTAAGGTGTTTACGGCCTAAGGAGGTTCTTAGGCCGTGAATCCTTCTAATTGGCTTTCTTGGGCTATTTTTGGGTTAAAACAACACTAAACAATGTCTAAAACAAGTTAGGGTAGAAGATCTTACGTTTTGGAGGCGGAAACTCGCGGATTTGAGTCGGAAACGAGCTTTTATGAGAGGGAGTATAGAGAGAGGGTGAAAAAGGGTGGAATGAAGTCCATTCTCCCTTATATATGGGTTGGAGTTGGAGCTCAGTGGTATTCTACCCGATACTGCCGTTAAACGGGGCTTTTTGGCCGCACCCGATTTAGTGGTCGTAATAAACTTAACTTTTTCCAAATTAATATGGAAATGTAATTTACATGCTTTTACTTATTTTATTACGACTATAACGACATAAATATAAATAAACAAAACATTTATTTATTTGGCGGCCTCTAATTAACGGAACTTTTATAAAATGGAATATTCCGTTAACGGAAACGGAGTAATGTAACGGAATAAATTTTGGGTTGTCACATGATTACGCTTACATGAGTGCGTTTACATATATACGTTTACATAAGTGCGGTTACATATACTTTGATAGGACAGACATCACTAGGTGCTATAGCATAGAACAAGTTCAGGATCTAACTATACCGATGAATCGCAACGCATTGTGATAGTTATATCGGGTATACATGATCATAGTAATGTGGATGTTCACGGCATGCATATATGCATGGGCGTGTAAAGGTCTCAAAATCCCTTTGACAGTGGAGCGTTTAGCCTAGGATCTAGCCATCACATTAGGCCTTATCCCTCAAATAAGGCAATAGGAGTACAGAGGCAGTCACTTATTACAAATATTGCAGTACTTACGAGATTACCCTAGACTTAAGGTAATTAGTACGGTTGTAGTTCGACACTACACCATAGTACTATTTCATTTTCCCATTATATTCACTTCGTGAACATTCACACGATGCACGGTAATGTAGAAACTATATTTTTGGTTAATGATAGTCGGATTTGGGAAAATACACACTCTTACCAGAGACACACACACAGACACTAGATGCCTTGGTAGAAGGATACGATTAGTAGGAAACATAGGGTTTCCTAGGATCATTCAAAACATTTTCACACTTACAGTTCATATACATTTTCAATACTTACAGTTCATATACAAACAATTTCTTACATATAAATTAAGACACTAAAATACTTATGATCTCACCAGCTTCAAAGCTGATACTCGCTTTAAAAATTACTTGTATCCTCAGGTCATTAATAGACAGGTACGGATGCAAGGTTTAGAGAAGATGGAGCTCGTTCAAGATTCATCTTTCATTTTGTTTATACTTTAGTGTCTATTATAATTTGACAGAACACACTTGTATTAAAATTATATTATTAATGCAATGGATGATGTTGTTGCTTGTTTACTACTTTTCACTGTTGTGATACTGTACATGACGTCCTCCGCCCCAGAACGTTTCCGCCGTTCTTGGTTTTGGGGTGTGACAAAACTTGCCAAAGACGTTTTAGAGGGAATACATTTTAATAGCCACTTATGTGATCAACTGTCTTCCTTCCAAGGTCATTCATGTTGTCGCATCCTATGAAATACTCTACAATCGAAAACCAAGCTATGATTGCATGCGTATTTTGGATGTTTAGCGTATTATCGGAGCACGGAAACAAATGGAGACAAATTTGAACCATGTGGAAGACCGGGGATCTTCGTTGAGTGTCCACAAGGCACGAAGGGATATAAAATCTATGACATGGAACACAATAAATTAATCATATCAAGACATGTTAAATTTCTTGAACATAATTTTCCCATGAGACGCATACACACCGATAAGGAGATTCGTGATGAAATATTTCAATTTTCTAATGAATGTGTAACACCATACCATCAAACGTCACCCTCCACTCATCATTTTCCAACAGCCAACGAGATCTCCACTCACGATGATTACACAAGTAATCATGAGGTAGCAAATGAATCAAAAAGAACTTGAGCCACCCAATTTATGTGACCCTCCCATACAGATTGATGATGTTCCCATGCAAACGGATTTGGAAGTAACCCAAGAAAGTGATGGTGTGTATAATCAAAGGGGAAAACGAACCAAAATGCAACATGCACGCTTCAAGAACTATGAAACTAAATAAACCCTATCGATACATCATTCACTACCCGACGCCAATTTTGTTGTCTCAACGGTACATCCTCTTACTAACTATGTTTCTTATAGTAATTTTTCTAAGACTCACAAAGCATTCTTAGCTACCATTGTTACACACAATGAGCTAAAGTCTTTCAGTGAGGTTGTGCATGATGAACGGTGGAAAGAAGCAATGAGAAAAAAAGTCGGTGCACTTGAACAAAATGGAACCTAGCAACTTGAACACTTACCATAAGGAAAGAAGAGGCAATAGACTCCAAGTGGGTATACAAAATTAAGTACAAACCAAACAGGGACGTTGAACGATATAAGGTTCGGCTCGTAGCAAAGGGATATACTCAAATGGAAGGTGTGGATTTTCACGACACATTTGGTGGATTTTGGTGAGCACATAAATAAGCCGACACCCCTTTTGTGTGAAAATGAATTAGCATGTCACATAACTCATAATCTTGTCTTTCATGAACGAAAAAAATATGTAGAGATTTATAAGAGAATGAATAGAATCAAAAGAAATAACACCAATTTGAATTAACTCTCATGATCTGTTAACAGATTTGTTAACTAAACCATTAGGCTCGGAACATCTACATTCTCTTGCAAGATTTGTTAACTAAACCATTAGGCTCAGAACATCTACATTCTCTTGCAGTCAAATTGGGCATTCTAATCTTCATGCTCCAGCTTGAGGGGGGAGTATAGGAATCGGTATTATCCTTGTTATCATGAGTGATAATTTCTATCATTATCTTCTTTTTATTCTTTTCTTTTCTTTAAGAGATAAATGTTAGTTTTGGTTTTATATATATATATATATATATATATATATATATATATATATATATATATATATATATATATAGGTTTAAGTATTATGCATTGTATTCTATGATAACAAATGATCATGTCCACATTGTGAATCATGTTTGCATTTTCTTTTCAGCCTAGCCAATTTACAAGGCTAACATGGAGAAAATCAGGAGTCTCTTCCATTGTTCCGAAAGTTTTTCACACTCCAAAAAACATGAACCGACCCTTCACATAGGACTAGAATGTTACGAGTCACTAGTTCATCTGATTTATAGCTAGATAACATTTGAAGGACAAGTCGTCATCTTTGGCAAAGATTTGTGGATTTATTTTATGCATGATGAGAGCTGAATAGTATGTTATTTGGGTCTTATCTCAGGTGTGCTCGTGATCTCAAAGATTTTTTTTTTTTAAAAAAACAGTTTAATGAGTGATCAATAGAACCTATCCGTCACAGCTTTTGTTGCTGATGTGGGGATCAAAAACTAATATAGTTATTCGATTTTGCCTGATTTTGAACAAGAACCAAAACAGCAAACAAATCAAGCATATGATATACTACAAAATGTTCAAAAACTTCATTAAAAAAAAAAAAAAAAAAAACAAGGATTTCATGCAAGCATCTCCAAAACAAAATGCAAAAAAATGTCAAGCAAAAATGAACATGGACAAAAAGGAAGCAGAAATGATAGAAGCAAAGGGGAGGGCTCTAGGGTCAAAAAACAGGATACTCGATTTATCAGACCATAAGAGGCTTTGTTGATGTGATCCCCTCCCCCGGTCTGCCTATCAACTGCTATAAATCAGTAGGGTACCCTCCTCTTAATTCATCAAAATCTATAAGCCTCTTCTCCTTGCAAGTAACAACCCAAAATTTAGAAGCTTCTTCTCAGTCAGCACCACAAGTAGAGAAAAAGAATGTCATTTGTTTTAAGCTGCTCTTCCCTCCTGGCCCCACCCATGGCTCAATGTACATTAGAAAATTTGAGGTGGGTTGGCTTTCAATTAATTATGGTAATGTTGTTTGTTTGTTTGTTTGTTTGTTTGTTGTTTGTTATCTAGAAGAAGTAGAAGTAGAAGAAGGTTAGCGTTTAGCAAGCACGACAAAAAGGAGCAGCAGCCTTGGGCTTTCTCAGCACTCAAAATCCTTTGTGGAACCTGAAGATGAGTCCCCACCATTTGAAGAGGCCTCGCCATTTCCCGCATCCTCATTTGTGCTGCTGTTTCTGCTTTTGTTGACTCGAGATCGAACATTAACACCCATCGGAAAAGGCACCTGCATACCAAACATCACATCATAATTCATACATTATAAGAAGAAATGAATCAAGAATATGCAACTAAAAGCACAATGGCGTTACCTGATCCCCTGCATTCGGACCTTCAGTGTGGAAAAGGATTGGGCGACAGCGTTTATCTTCATTCATCAAACTTGAATTCTGAAAGTGGGCAATCAGTGCAGCTTTTCCCTGTATGCGAGCGTATGCAAGGGATGCCACCTTTTCACTGTTGAACTTCTCCCACTTCTTCCCATTAAACGCCTGTTGTAAATTGTAATTCATTCTTTCATTCATTAATCAAATACTAGCAGTAGCTAGGCTAGCTTTTAGTAAAACACATACATACATACATACATACATACATACATACATACATACCTGATAGAACGGAACGATAAGGGAAGGCTCAGTCATGTTGATGAACGCATAACCCACATTGCATTTGTTCTGCCAACATAAACAGCATACTGTTTGTTAATCTCTGCCATTCTATTTCTATCACAAAAAAAAAATTATATATTGATATGTACTAGCCTTGAAATCAATGGGTAAGTAGATAAAATCATATGTTCCACGATGGCGTTCATCAATTGCAGCCAACAGCATTTTAGAAGTGTACCTGCAGTTTCCCACATTCAATAAAAATGAATGGATGAAATAAATAAATAAATATACATACTTGTTAGGGATGTTCTTGATCATGAGTGTGGTCCTTCTGTCTTCCCCACGCATTATACGGTCCAGATCGAGTTCAAATTGTTTCTTGGTGTCGGCCTGATTTGAAGTGGCTTCATTTCTACGGATTCTAGCCCGGTCACCAGAAGAAGAAGAATCAAACGAACCCATCATAGGAATCAGTTGTCCTCGAGTAGGAAACATTACATTATTCTGATGATGGATGGTTTTTGATGGAATTGGCAGGTCACCCATATGAGGAGGAAACATATTATGCGAATGAGACACAAAATCCAGACCTGGAACCCTCATATTCATATTCCCAAGAGAACCTGGATGGAAAACTGATGCTTCAGGGGATTCCCCTGCATAAGAGTGGCGTCTATCCCAGATAGAAGGATTCACAGAGGGTGCGGATCCCACATGCTGCTGCTGCTGCTGCTGCTGGTTGTTGATATGCAGAAAAGTGTTGGCAGCATGAGTTGGTGCTCTGGGAAGAGCATGCACCAGTGGAGCACTATGAGCATTTCCGACCCCGTTCATTAAAGATGGTGAATTGGGCCACATCATGTTATGGCTATGTGGAGAGGGAGAAGGATTCCACATGTACGGATGAGTGGCAGCATTCCCAGCAGAGCTGCCAAACACTGAGATAGATACCAGAGACCGAGTCAAATCATGATCTGGATTCACCAAGATATATATAGCTATATATAGATACAACCCTCCTTACCAGTGTCGTTAAGTTCAAGTGAGCGTCCAATTGAGCCACCACCACCGATTCTGTTAAACTGCTGCTGCCTGTTCCCCGCCACCCTTTCAGACATTCTGCCAGCCATGGTACTAGGAGAATTGCATAGAAAGTTATTGGTCAATCCATCTTGATACTCTGGAAGTGAGTGAGGGTGGTAATTTGGTGTGCTCCGGAAATCATATTTCAGTGATGGGATGATGCCAATACCGATGCCACGTTGATGTTGATGTTGATGCTGATGTTGATGTTGATGTTGGAATTCCACATCTAATAGTTGAGTGGCAGCAGCAGTTGCAGAATGAACACCCAACCGAGTTCCATTGTCCATGTTAACTCGAACATGTGAACCTGGTCCTGCTAAAAATAAATAAATAAATAAATAAAATCTACATCAGGTACATTACAACCAAGAGTGGTGTGACTCAGATATCATACCAGATATTTCTGTTGTGAAATCAGTAGGAGGGCTACACATTTGCAACAACGCACTAGTTTCATCAAGATCCAGCTCGGGAAATGGACTGTTAACATCAACACCACACATATATATGTATCTATAAATATATATATAGTAATAAGAAAAGAATGTTGGTTACAAACTTACAACCAGCTATACCGTTTAGAACCACCGGGACAGCTGGGTTCAAGCTTCATCTGTTTCCCTCCTCCAATGTCACTCTTGTTTAATTCACATAAAGCAGCTTCTGCAGCTCTAATATCATAAAACTCTATGGACTTGTGACGACTTCCTTGTGGATTTTCACGGATCTGCATCATCCCATTCCCAGGAGAACTATTATTATACTACCACCAACTCACACTCACCTCAAAACACAATCATCGTAAAATCAATCTTACCTCCTTAACCTCACCATAGACGCCAAAAATACGGCCAAGTTCATCATTAGAGACACTAGAATCGAGGTTATATATCACAACAGTGCCTTGATTAACATCTTTGTCCGAGAGGTTGTCCTGACAAAAAAAAACACTGTATATAATCAAAACACTATAGCAATATAACTTCTTTAATATAACAATATCATAGCACACTGACGTATAGATAAGCTGAAACCAACGAGTGTTTAGGCACAACAAGACCATGAACTAAACCATATCATACACAAGGATGGAAAAAACAACCTTTGGAATGGAGTAATGAATGTCAAGCTTTCTACGCCTCAATGGCTTGTTCTGAAGAGCTTGCATGGCTCGTCGGGCTGCTCTTATATCATAGTACGATATCATCACAAACCCACGATGTTTGCAGGCTGTGTACAGAGTGCGGATCTCACCATATTGCTGCACAGTCATCAGCATCAATATATATATATATATATATATATATATAATCCAAATACAAAGAATGAAAGAAACATAGACACATACCTCGAACAAGATGCGTAACTCGGAATCTTCCACATTGCTGTTGATATTTCTCACAAAAAGTGTTCTTGATGGGTTTTCTCCATGGGGGTGGTGTTGTTCCCCAGAAATTTCATAATTTCTTTGTCCGCCATCTTCTCCAAGCTCCATCCCCCCGACACTGCTAAAAAAGTCCAATTCTTCCACATCATCACCACTGCCTGGTTGCTGTTGCACTTTACAGTCAAGGTCAAGCCCATCAGTCACCCCAGAGAGCAAATCATCATCGTCTGGGAGTAGATTCCCAATAGTTTGGGCCTCAATCTCTTCAAGAGATTCAAATGGTTCCTCTTCTTCGTACTGGGAGGCAGCAGCTCCAACAGAATGACCATACATGCCATTATTATTCTTATTATTATTTGCTGATAATCTCACTGCACAAACAAACAAACATAAATTTCCGTGTGTAACAACATCAATGGAAATGGAATAGGGTAACTTACATTTTCTACTGAAAAGATCCGATAATGAACTTGAAAAGAGGCCATTCTCGTAGTGTTCGCCCATAGCATTAAGATAATAAGATTTATGTTCCGTGTTCAGATTAGATCTGTTTCCTTTATCACTATCAACAGCTCTCCTCAAAGAATGGCTAGTTGCTCTCCCTGCTCCCACTCCCACTGTGTTATTCTCTAATAAGTTAATATGAACTTTATTATGGTCTTGGCTACGGTAAAGATTAGGGACATCAAAGCGCTTCAACATATGAGAATCAGATGACATCTGTTTTTGTTTTTCCACAACCGAACTGTCACCAACTGCATATACGTTGCCATCTTTTAGACCTGAACAGAGACCGCATAGTATCAGTTGATGAAGATTTTTTTTCTTTTTTCTTTTTTTTTAAAGCAAGTATCCATCACTGCTCACCGTAGTTGTCAGGCATACCATCTGTCTTCCTGAACCCAATTTGTCTCTGCAAATGCAAATGGAAGTTATACAAATGAAGAAAAGAAAACCTGATCCGGAAGAAACAAACAATGCAAGGGGAAGGAGATGCAGCAGTAAGTACCTCATTAGGATGTTGCACCTCTTCGGATAAGAACAAAGATGGGGACAAACCATGTGAGTCCATTAGTTCAGATGGCATGCTTAACCCTCAAAAGGCTACAAACACAAAATTCTTTCCTTTGGGGTTTCACCAATTCAATTCAACCACTCAACTTCCTATTAATTACAAGCAAGGGATTAAGATTTTGATATTAATTTAGGCCAATAAACGGTCAGCTTCCACAAAATTTCAGAAAAACAAATCCGTTTTTCTGACAAGCCTTAAAATTCAAAATTGATTAAAGACGGGCTCTTTTTGTTAAGGAACTAAAATCTCAGCAGTTTAAGGAAAGACGCAATTAATTTTTTCCGAACAAACATAAAAGGAAGCATCTTTGTTGAGAATAAGAGCTATGAAACCTAAAGCCGATCTATGTAACAAGTAGAGCTGCCTTGGAGTTGAAAATCAACAGCCGTGAATCCTAAAGCCGATCTAACAACTAAAATTGTTTTGGAGCTGAAATCAACAACAAAACCCCAGAATTCAGCATCAAATTCAATAGTTTGTCTTCTCTTCTTCAAAAATATGAGAAAAAAAACTAACAAGTTCAAACTTAACGGATCAAAGGATCACGAAATGCAACAAAAATTGTGAGAAGGCAAAGAAAAAAAAGGGAAAAGCACGCACCTTTATCAAACTAAAAACGACATAATAGATCAAGAGAGAATTTCCGAAGATGAAATGGAGATGCAGAGAGAGATAGAGAGAGATAGAGAATTTAAAGGATTAAATGGGAAAGAGATAAATCGAATGGATTACGGCATAAGGCAAGGGAGAAAGGAGATTTGGAGAAGGGATCTAGGTTTCTGTGCCGTGCAAGAACCTCCAAAGCTTCCTTTGATGCCTTCTTCTCTTTCTCTCTCTATCTCTCTCCACCTTGTGTCTGTGTGTTTTCTGTCTTTCTCTCTCTACTTTTTTTCCCTACAATGCACGTTAACCACATGAAATTAGCTGAATATTTAAATATCACAAGTCTTGATCAATTTTAACTCACAAGAAACCCCATCTGTCTGCCTGTAATGTTAAAAAGAAGGGAGCGTACGAACCTGCGGAGGTCTTTCTGCGTTTAACGGCGAGATTCCCACGCCCTCAGTCCGCTCCCCCCGTCGAGAGAGAGAGAGAGAGAGAGAGAGAGAGAGGGAGTGTGTGTGTGGGTGGGAGGGAGAGAGAGAAAGAGAGAGAGGAATAATCTGCCGAAAGAATTATTAAAAAAAATAAGATACAAAAGAAACAAAGAAATTGAAACAGAGAGAAAGTGAAGAAAATTGAAGACCGGAGATGAAGAAGACTCCTGCTCCTAAGTTCACGAAGATTAATGAAAATCCCAGATGATCATGTCGTCATGTCATGTGTGTGAGAGAGAGAAAAAAGGAGAGGAGAGAGGGAGATAGATCGGGTTGGGTTGGGTTGGGGTTGGGCAGGTTGCCGTTATTACATTCAACGCCGTTAGCCACCCACAACACACGCCGGTTTGTTTGGTTCGTTATGACTCTACACAGACACATCTCCAGTGTGTTTCTTTATCTTGTGTATAATTTGACATCTTCAACCCCTAAATTAACCAACACTCACCTTCTTTCAATCACACAAATATACTTAATTTCCTTCCATTGTCTTTATCTTTAGACATTTGCGATTAACCATATAATATACATCTGTAATTCGGTTTTTGATCATCGATTACAAACAAATTTAAGTTTCTGAACAAAATTGACGGCAAACTGGTTTGGTTTAATTACTTGGAGTTAATGCAAGTCAATTTTTGGTTTATAAACTAAATCCACTCATTCATCCGGTGTAAATATAAGTTGAAAAAATTGGGTCTTCATTGAATGCTATCATAAACACCAATACCGAATATATAGAATTTTTTTATATACACAGTGTTTATGTTCTTTTTTGCGTTATTATTCTTGGTGGAAATGTAAATATAATCATCACCTACTAAATATTCAAGTGCATTACAAAATTGTACATCTATGAATAATGTTCTTTCGTGGGTTATTTTTGAAAAGAAGCAATAATAAATTTCATAAAATCATTAATATCAGTAGGAGATGATGTGAGATTTGTTGTAAATGAGTAAAGGGAAAATGAATCAGAAGGGTAACAAACTGTTGCATTTGTTCTCATTTTATCCATTTTCTTTTTTTGTACTCAATATATCATCGTACTTGTTGTTTGTATTCACCATAACCCTTTGACGGGGTATCACGGGTCAAAAATCGGTCAAAAGGGTTATAATAAACACAAACAACAAGTTCGTTGGTATATTGAGTAAAAAAATGAAAATGATCAGATGAGAACAAACGCAACAGTTAGTTACCCTTAAGATTCATTTTCCCGCGGATAAAATTATAGTACTTGTGATCATAAGCTTAAGTCATCGGAATTTAGGTTGCGTTTGGAATGTCATTGCTAGCTGAAAAACTAGCTTATTTTTCAAGGTTTTTTAAGTTGTCATGTTTGACAAACTAAAAAGTAGTTTATAAGTTAGCTTTTTATGAGATTTTTTAAAATTTTCCAAATATAACCCTTAATTAATTATAAAAACACATTCTTTTAAATGTCTCTTTATATCATTTCATATTTTACAGCTAGTTTTACCAAACGTCATTTTTTCTTATCTAGTTTTTTAGTTATCAACTAGGTTTTTATTTAACAGCTAGCTTTCAGCTAGTAACTAGTTTTTCAGTTAACAACTAACTTTTCAACTAGTATGTCAAACATAGCCTTAGTAATTTGTTTACTAAATAGTAAATTGTAAAACATTGTGGGTGGTTGCTAATATTTTAACATATTTAAATCTAACATGTTAACAAAATAAATCTTTGTTTGTTTTTTGAAAAATAACTATTTTCTCCAAAACGGCAGTTAGCCTAAAATAATATTTTGTGTATATCTTGTATTTATTTTATTCTTCAAATACCATTATTGTAATTTCTTGTTATATAAATATACATGTATTCCACCTATTTTGTTGGTAAGATTTACCACAATCACATGGTATCAGCCAACTATCACGTCTTATTCTTCTTCTTGATTCTAACCCTAGTCGCCCCTCCTATTCATCGTTGCTATGGCTTCTTCCTCTTCTGATGGTACTTTTTCTATGGTTACTATTCTTCATATGCTTACCACAAGCTTACCTCCTCTGATTATCTCTTATGGAAAAATCGCATGATACATCTTCTCACATATCAAAAATTGATGGCGCACGTTGATGGCTTGTCTAAAGCCCCATCTCCAACCATCATTCAAGAGGGTAAATAAGTCGTGAATTCGGCCTACACTACCTGGTGCGATAATGATCAAAAGACAATAATCATCTTAAACTCCTCTCTTTCTGGGGAAGCTCTTTCTAAAGTTCTGGGTCTCTCCACCTCTGCTGAGATTTGGACTGCACTCAAACATATCTATAATAACTCATGTATTGAATGGGTTAAAAGTCTTCACGTCCAGCTTAGACAACTGACAAAGGGTCTTCCTGTGTTTTTGAGTTTGGTAGTAAATTCAAAGGTCTGTGTGATCAACTTTCTACGATTGGTCACCCCGTGGAACATATGGATAAATTTCACTTGTTTTATATATGGGCTTGTGTAACATCTTGTTTGTTAAATAAATAAATAGATAAAATTTGGTGAATGAACTGTAGCCCTAAAATCCATAATATTTATCGGGGTGTTGGTTTCGGGGAGTCAAATGACATGATGTAGAGTTTTGGGGGTTAAAGTGGATTTTTGGGAGTAATTTTGTAAAGATTTGCAGTAGCCAGGGGTTGTTTGGTATCATTTGGACTTAATATGAGAGGAATTATGGGGGCAGGTATATGAAGAGTAAATTATGGGCTTTATTTGAAAGGAATTAGGTTGGAGGAGCTGATAATGTAAATATGGGAAAGTAGTTCATAACCGAGTATATAACCTTCAACATGTCACAAACCCTAACCCAAAGGAAAGGATGCAGCCGCCACCACCACCCTTATGTCTCCCCACCGGCGCCGCCATCCATGTACCCTGTTTTTTCAACTAGCTAGCGACCATTGTGCAAGACCCTCGTCCATCACTCGCTACTTCGCCATCGGAGCACCACCGTCCCACTTTTGCATTGTTGCCGATAACCGCTACTATTGTTGCTGTCGCTCAAGACCTACCAGTTGTCATCATCGTCGTTAAAGCTAACAACTATCGTCAAGGCGTCGTCTCTGTCAGGGATGTCGCCAGTTTGTCGTAGATAGCCCAATCGAAGGTGTTGTCGTGTTCATGTGGTGTTGTCTCGCTGTGAGTTGTTGCCAAATGTCATGACCGTCGTTGGTATCGCTGTTGCCGCCACCATGTGCCACCAAGTGGGTGGCTACGTCCGTTTTAGCATACAGAGTCGAGTGTTGTTGTCGCTAATCGTGTTATGTTCATTTTCTGTTGACCGAAGCTATAAAGGAACCACCATGGCGGCCAACCATGGTGGCTACCACCATGTACCACCATCGGCCACCACAAGGGTGGTTGTGTTATCTTAGTGTGTGTGTGTGTTATTTGGAATTTTGTGTTGTAAATTGTAATCGATGTAGGAATAATAAAAAAAGAAAACTCATAACCACCACCGTATGGTGGTGGCTACCGCCACCAACTGTCGTGTTCGGTGGCGGTGTGCTTTTGCTTGTGTATAGTTGCTTTTGGGTTGCTTGTGTTGGATAAGGTGTCTAAGTCCATAACTTATTTGGTATATACTTGACCCGACCGGCATGGTCCATTTGGGTTGCATCTCATCCAAACTATTATGGATAATTTTATGAGAGTTATACACATATGTTTATTAATATATTATGGGTTATAATATATTAATATGAAGTTACGTTATTTAATTAGTTTTAGTCTTAAATTAATTATGAATTAATTTAGAGATTAAAAGGAAGACTAATTAGATTATGGGCTATTTGTTTTATATAGTGTGGGCTAATACTCATTTGTTAATGGGTTAGGCTTATGTGGAAGTCCATGGATGATCCATGGAGCTTTTAACCCATGGATCCTTGGAAAGGA